GGGTAAACTGCTACAATGCACCAAATTACCACGCTCCATTTGGAGGATTCAAAATGTCTGGTATTGGAAGGGAAATGTGAGTTTGTCTCCAGAGTTTTTTATTCCTTAATAAAAACTTAATCCCTTTAATTTCCAAAGGAGACATTACGAATTATTAATAGACAAGTATACAGAGTACACGAATTGAAGGAGTCAGAGTGATGTTGAATCTCAATGCTATCTTCTTTATTTGCAGGGGTGAATACAACCTCAGTCAGTACCAGGAAGTCAAAACGGTAACAATGTCTCGTTTTCTTTTTTAATTAATTATTTCTATTTTTAAATAGTAATTTCATTTTTTATATATATATATATAGGGTCAAATTTCATGATTTTGTTGGTTATGTGTGAGAATTTAAAATAATATTATTCTGTAGTACCCCTTATTTGCTAAAATCGGACTCCTTTTTCTTTCAGGTCATGATAAAGATTCCCCAGAAGAATTCTTAAAAAAAGACAGTTTTCAACCCATAAACTCAAGTGATCAGAATCAATATATATTTATCCACATATAGGAGTAAATTTGTTTCTGTATAATTATGAAATCTGACTAATTAATTACAAGAACATCTTTTTTTCTGATTATTTTACAATAATGATACCATGATGTTATGATATGTATAAATCATTTGCTTTTTACACATTTTTTTTATTGTATAATTTACAAGTACATGCAACCTGCACTTTACAAAAAAAAATCGTGCCGTTTATATGGAGCATGATGTTGCATATTTAAATCAATAAAAGCGAAACATTCTTTTTTTCAGGGTTAGAAAATTATTTTGCCCTCATTTGAAGGGTCATTATGCTGAATTCTCTAAACAAAATATTTTAAACATTTTACTGAACATATTCAAGGTACACTGCAACATTAAAGATAAGATTCTTGTTATTTTTTAAAGAGAGAAAAAATTGCCACACAGTGAAATAATTTAAAAATGAATACACTCCTAATGTTTAAATTTATGTGTTTTAAATAATCCGTCTTTAACCAAAATCAAACCTTTTTTGCTCGCGTGATTGAACTTGAAGGGGGCTGGGGAGAGGGCCCCAACTTTTATTTATGATCTTTTGAAAAATAGCTGATTATATAATTAAAAGGAAAAAATCTTATGAGTTTCATAAAAATATTGGTATCATAAAGATCTACTAGTATTTGTCTTAGAAAATAAACAGAAAGTGTAATCTGTATACAAGTCATACATTTATATTAGAAATAGTTACTGGTGTTTAAACACTTGGTTCTTGGTTTCTTTGTTCAAGAAACATGCATCAAGGAACAAGGTTTGTTGATCATAGGCCTCTTAGTATCCAAGCTCAAAATAACTGACAATGAATAATGATAAAATGAAAAAAGTAAGTCATTGTGACCTATTTTTGAATTGACACATCCCAGGGCCCAATCAATTATTCATATTTGGTGACCCTACATGACATGCTTTGAAGCCCCATGACTCTTTAACTGACAAGATTTGATTATCTAAGATTTTACACTGTGCAAGATATTCAACTGAAAATGAATAGCTGCAAAGTTCAAAAACTAAGTCACAAGAGCTAAATATGAGAGCCCAATTTAAACAAGCAATATATTATCAAATTGACTTATATATTGACTTACATATTGACTTTTAGTGTTTTTTATTTATATCACAACAGCTAAACGAAAAATTTCAACGACATCAGAATTTAAATTTGTTTTAAGGGTTCAGAAAAAATATTTTGAACTTAAATCAAAGAAAACATCTTTATCCATCAAATGACAAAAATGAAGTTCATACACCTTTAGCTGGAAAGAGGACGAAAGTCCAACTTAGAAGTTGTATTTTGAACTTAAATCAAAGAAAACATCTTTATCCATCAAATGACAAAAATGAAGTTCATACACCTTTAGCTGGAAAGAGGACGAAAGTCCAACTTAGAAGTTGTATAATAAAATTCTATTTTATCTTACTCAATTTACTACATTTTTGGCATTTTAAAATTATTTTAATCGCTTTTAAAAAGATGAAGACTCGTATACGAAAAAATACTAAGTCATCCAAGATGGACAAAACAAAAGTACAAATCAAAGTTTAAGTTACTATGGTTACTTAAAGTAACTTCATGCATGGTTACTTTAAGTTACTTTAAGTTCAAAATGTGGTCTAAGAACTAATGACTTCACAAGTCGATCCTATTTTATCCCATCATACTTGATTGATTTTAAATTTTTTGTATAAAAAAAGCGCAGTTATTATGAAACCAGTGTTCAACACGAAGAAACTCACTATCAGAATGGCAGAGTCTATTTCTTTGGAAATAAAGGGATCCCTTGCAGTTTGTTGTTGGGACAACGACGTGCTTGCGTTTTTCGGAGACGAGGGAGATTGCTCCTGGATTTCTATCGAGGAAATATTTGACGTGAACTCTGTTCCTGTAGCGAAGCTTTGGGCCACGGAAAGGTGTATGCCTCCTAAAAGTAATCGAAAGAATATACATGTATACCTAACAAAATAAAGCGTTCTGGGGGAGATAACGTTAGATAAATTATCCTAGAATTGCAAAAATTAAAAAAAAAAAAGTTAAAGAATGTTTACCATAAAAAATATAGATAATAAAATTTTAATATGAGATCAATTTTATTGTCTTTTACTATTTTCCAGTCTAAAGTTGTAAATGATTACATGGCTTTTTGGACTGGAAATTAGTAAAAGACACTATTATTCGCATTACACATAAAAGTTAGTATATGAAATACATACCCAAAAACATAAAATATATTATAATAGAAATGTTTTGTAGTAGGATTCGGATGTTTATCTCCATAGTATTAATCCTTATTAATTTCTAATATCTAAGATGCTTCTTAACATGTTTCCTTCTTCATACAAAGAGAATTTATCGAGATAAGTCCGAAATAAAAGAAAATCTAATGTACTTTTAACGTACAGCAAAGTTCATTACATGGACCGTAGATTCATTGATGTGTGCATTTTTATGTCTGATTTTAAAAAAAAAACTTGAAAGAGATTGTTACAGTCTTATTATAGGTTTTTAAATGTAACAAGTTTATTATAAAATAATAAGTTTCACTTTCTCGCACTAAAAGTGCGACTATAGGCATATACATGTGCAAATTAATGTAACACATAAAGGACTTCGACAAGTTCAACATGACTAAACCATGCAGCGGTCACAATTTCAAAGATTTCAGAGGATTGATTTCAAATCCAATTAAAAACCGTCTCTGGAAAAAATTAATCTAATTTATTTCACAAAGAAGTGTCGCTGTCTAAAGTTTGGTTTAGCGAGGCATATAGCAAATATCAAAGCTGTCGATTTTGGCATTTATTTTTTAAAATCATTTTCTTTACCTTTCTTGCTGACAAAGACTTGAACATTTGCTTTCTTCGTTTTGTGTTGTAAAAGTTGCTACATTTGACAAAATAATATTACGGTAGAGTTCAGGAAGGGGAGACAAATATGAATTTATAGTCCCGAAATACTATGCTCTCACAGTGTCTGACGTCACATTATACATCTACAAATTAAGAAAGTGTAAAATATTGTTTTTCTCATTTTGAAGAGCATGCAAAAGGTTAAATATATTTAATTTCCTAATTAATAAATTTTACCTACTGCATGTTATGCGGGGTAAGAAAACTCAGGTCAACTTTAAAATAATGTTTGTTTGCCCTCTCCCGACTCAGGATGGAAAAATTGGGTCGGTAGGTAGATAAGAATTTTTTTTCACAGAAAATTTCAATTTCAATGCTGATTAAAAAAAAAATCCCAGAATGCATAAAAAATTATTGCTTCCTAGAGGTTAAAAAAAGTTTGAGTCGGTCCATTTTTAGCCAGTCGGTCGGGAGAGGGCAACCAAACAATTTCTTAAGGTAGAACCTATGTCGGAAAAGTCTTTGTCACAGGATTTTCAAACTTTTCAAAATGAGTAATTAGCACTTGCTTATTTATCAGTTAAAAATACATGGCGTGTTTCCTAGTTATTAAATGTAGTGCAGCCGGCGCAATTTAGAATGATTATTATACATTGCAATTATAATTTTTAGCCATTTTAGGGGTACATGGTTATAAGGAGAATATAGAAAATCACAAAAATACTTCTTCAAACACCTTTGTTTATAGACTTCATTAACCGAAGAATAGTTAGAAATATTATTAAAAATTAAATTCGTTTTTCTTCAATTGACATAAAAGATTAAATCCACATTTGAATAAATGTGCGCAAATGCGCAATATTTTTAAGAGGATTTTTTAGTCCATCTACAACCCTAAATTTGTAAATATTTACCAAAAGTCTCTGTGACAGTGTTTTCAATCCTAAATATGACGAAGAACATACCCATATGATTACGAAAAATGATTAAAATATATACCTTTCCCCGCAAACTAATGAGAGAGATGTTTTTTTTTATCAATACTAGTCATGTTGACCTTTTTGCACTTACACAGGATTTCATGATTAAATGAATGTTTTGGTGTTACTTTCAGATTTACAAAATGAATATTTATCAAAAAATGAAATTTCTATTTTAAAAAATTAATATTTAGCGAATTGTTTATATCATATACAAACCACTACAATTCCAAATGAATAATTAAGAAATAATTATAAAAATGATTACAAACATTTAACACAATCTTTAATAGATTTGAGACTCAGACGATATATTGTACTATTTCATAGTCGACTGAAGATTTCTTAGCAACTTTGCATTCCTTCAAAATAGGCCTAGTTGCATGTCATTCATTTATCACAGTTGTGTATTTTCATTAGCTGAGACAGTCATGTGCATTCGTTCACTTATAACTATGACGCCATACGACTGTGACGTCACAAGCTGTGACAGAATGCATTTAAGATTTAGATTACGTCATCGTTTTGTTTATTGTGACGACATAATTAAGATGTGAAACTTCGTGGAAACAATGTAGATTTATTCAGCGACTTTCTATGCAACAATGAAATTAATAATCAATCATTGTGAGTAGATTTGCCAAAGAAATTAGGCTCCAACCCAATTGAAGACTTGATCTTTGATTCTATACTCAAAGAAATTTAAAAAACTCAGGTAAGTACTATAGCTACTTTAAATCATTTTAAATGTTCATTGACCCATTTATAAGAGAGATAACTCTAACTGGGATAAATGACTACTGAGTATTATTGCTTTATAAAAGGTCAGGTAAAAAGGTTATTTTACCTGATTGTAGGTTTAAAAAAAATATTTTCACAATTTTTGCCTCGAAAGGTGTGCTGAAATCGTTTGCATTTTATTGTAAATTAGATTTCCTTAGGAAATAAATAAGTTTTAAAGCAAAATTTTATATGAGTGATTAGAGGGATGATGAACCTTACGTAACATAAATGCGTTTAATTTTTTTTTTTTTTTGGTTATGCATTGTGTTTTATGTAGAATTCAAGATATATACAAAGTAAGATCGAGTAACGAGTACTAGTATAACGTACTACATGGTAGCTAAATCTTTTTAAAAAATTAGTGATTTGATATGATTTCTCAGTGTATGCCATCGCCGAGTCAAAACATATTAATAGAATTTACCTGTGGACTTTAAATTTCAGTCTCTTCGTGTTATTTCATAGGATTTTGGAGAAATTTGCTCGATTGTAAAAAATACATATTGGGTAAAAAAAAATTGTGATGGATTCCATGAAAAACGTGGTATTAAACAGAATTTTGAGATATTTCTTTTGTTAGATTAATGTAAAATTATAATTTTTTTTACAATGTTTTCAGTGTTTTTGTCTATCAAGCTGTGTATTATTAAAGAATGGATTCACCAATGGGGGAGAAAAGTATTCCAAACTTGAGTGAATTTATATTTTCCTCCCTAAAATCAGTGAGTGATAAACCAAAGCAAATATCAAAATCCAAACCTTTCAATGATAGCAATTTACACGATAAAACCACAGCAGAAACCCCAAATCTTAGCGGTGTTCCATTAAGTTGCGAACCAGGGCCAGTCAGGGATGAAAATTGTTCATCTTTAAGAATGCTTTCAGACAAGCCAACGACTGAAATCATCCACTCTCACTGTAAGACCAGATATACTAATAACGATTCGAGATGGGAAATTCTTTTAAATCTTGGCTCGATGAAATATACAACCGGAAATGGGAATTCTCTGAAGTCGAGTTCAGGCTGCTGTTCAGCAGTAGACAAGATCGGAAGACCTGATACACCTCTGCAACCCAGACTGTTGAATGTTGTGTCTGTTAATTCAAAGAAAAGTAGATCTTTTCTGGACAAGAAGGCAGAAAGCAATCTAAGTGAAGGGATTAACGAAAGAGAATGTAATGATTGCCACACGATCCCTCAAAAAAACTATTTCACCTCGAGAAGTATCAAAAGTCAACCGGAAAGCTCCCACGAAATTCTGACGGATGAGATACCATTACATGATTGTTTGTCCGGGGCAGAAAATTTCGGCTTGAAATCCTCAAGTTCCGTGAGTCAAGATACTTTAAGCAGTCAACACAGCACGAGAGAAGAATACGGATGGCAGGGAGATTGTGCTCATTCTAGAAGCAAAGATCCTATATGTGCAATATCCACAGCAGCAACACTATCCTCCACGATTTACAGTAATACACGAGAATGTCTCTCCACTTCTTCAAATGATCACCGGTGTGTTAAAGCTTGTGATGGTCAGTTCAGCAAGAGTGAGGATTCACACGAAACCAGTTTTTGCAATAAGACACAACATGAACATAATGCCACAGGAGGCCCCGCAATAAGTAAAGTTTTGGAAAGTTCTTTCAACTCTGGTGTGTCGGACTATAAAGTTGATTATGAGAGAGATGAGGATGGAACTCCAGTAAACTGTAACAATATTCCCCAACATGAGAACCAAAATCAACACCAGTCTTATAATTACGCAGTCAAGAAAAACGTCACCAAAATATCATCTACTGAAGCGAAACCAGTAGTGACACGTCTTGAAAACATAGAAAAGAACACAACTCACTCGAAAATTTGCGAAGAACTACAAATACCCATGGTCAAAGAAATAAAGAGCGGCGAACAGACTGAGGCTGATCTTAAACAGGAAAATATTTTTTCATACCGTCCACGGACAAAATATCCCAAATCAAAGGAACGGAAGAAACTAAAGAGGAAGGCCGAGTCTCACAACTCATTGGAGCTGCGCAAAGCGTACGATGCAAAACAGAGAGCTGAAACCAAGAAACTTGATGGTCTGAAATTAAAGAAACCAGAAAATAAAATGGATATCAAACATAGAAAATTCATCTTAAAAGAGCTTCGTGATTATAAAAAGGGCATACCAACAGAGAATGATAAAATTAATTGCTCTGGAGAAGTAACCAATTGCAGGAAGAAAAACCTATTTGTTGTCGATTACACGAAAGAGAACCTTGCGATCTATAGCAGCCCTGGAAAGACCCTGTTTGTTAAACTGGAATCTGAAACAAATCACTATCGGAACAATTCCAAGAATTATGATTTGGAGAAGATTGATCAGACAAGAATTATATTACATCAGGGAGAAAATACCAGCCACGTTTATGAGGATGATTTTGAAAGTGACGAAGATGATTCACCTTCCAAGCCCGGTGCTGAGCTGTTCGATTTAAGAAACAGCATCAGTCTTTTAGATTCTAAGACTGCAAATCGGGAAGCAGGTCGGTTGATTGGTAACAAAAACGGATATGTTGAAATGGCTCGTCGGTTAAAAGCTTCATTGGGAATCGGAAAAGAACTTTCCGCTCAGACTATGGTTTTCAACGATGACCAGACAAGTTGCGAACAGTTACAATGTGCAACAGAAGCAAAAACGTACGCTTATTCCACAAATCCAGGCCAGTCTGCATCTTATGCAGGATACATGAATCTTCCACCAATAGAAATGAACAATTTCGTAGTCCAAAGACTCCCTAAACATTCATACTCACAAAACAAAACAGGTGGATTGGCGAAAGATGTCCTGCTGTCAGGGGATAAAGCAATGGAAATTTCTCGCAGAAATTTGAATCAGCGTTATTGGTTTGCTCAAAGCGAAATAAAGGGGATTCAGAAATCACCAAGATCTTTGTCCTGGGTAAAGAAGCCAACTCCCAAATACGACATCGACATCTTGGAGACCCGCGCCAGAGCCCCGTCCTTTGACACCCATATGGATTGCGAATTCCCGGGTAGATTTCAAAGTCAATAGTTATTGACTGTGGGTAGATCTTAACTTAAAGTCAGTAGTTATTATTGACTTTGTGGGTAGATTTCAAAGTCAGTAGTTATTATTTTGAGGAATTCTTAAAAGTTGATGATTGGATTCACACTGTAAAAAAAAAAAACAATTACCGCGGGTGGGGATTTAAAAATTAAAGAAAAAGTATTTCTGATTTGTCATAAAACACTTTTTTTTCATACACTGTAAGAAGTGATGTCATCAATTACAATTTCGACCCACAATTAAAATGTAAAAATCATGGAGTTTCATTAACTTTATCAAATTATTTCCTTCCTTACCTTACTAACATTAGTGATTTCTGATGCACAATTAAAATGTAATATCTACGCATGTACTGTTATATAACACGTCTTATTTGTTCAAGATAAAGGCATAGTTGTCGATTCTATTATAATCATATAGAAAATCTAGAACAAGGTTAGCTATTCGTAGGAAAGAGCAAAGGTAATGCTACAACTTGTATAAAATAACATTGATGTCAGAAGAACATAAACGTCCCGGACAGCAATGAAGTTGATATTTCAGCAGTTATTTTATTGGAAATCGTGTGTTGTTTTACAACCCGTTCGAGAATTTTTTACTCATATAGAGACGTCACCATATACCGGTGAAAGGCTTCAAATTTTGACCTATACTATTGAGCAGAGAGGGTTCTTTATCGTGCCAACGCCTACCGTGACACGGGGCTTCGGTTTTAAGGTCTCATCCTAAAGACTCACTCCAAAGTGCCGAGCGTTTGGCGAAGGAACAGTTGTTACATGTACCTATATATTTTTTTTTATCGACTTAGGTCAGTCGCGGCCGTGATTCGAACACACATGACCTTCCGATCACTGGGCGAGCGCTCTACCGACTGAGCTACTGTGACGGTTTATTTTATTAGATAAGAAATGTTAACTTCATGTATTAAGTATCAATAAAAAACTTCATTATATTCATTCATATTTCGACTCGATAATTTTCCAGTGAACTTGAAGTAAAAAAAATACCACAGAGTCTGACACATCTGTTTCATATTTGGCTATTTCTAGATAAAGACGTTAATGGTAACCTAACAACAAAACTTAATGATAAACATGATGACTTCAACTTTTCTATCATCAACTTCCTTTACTTATGAAGCAATATGAACTTATCATCTGCATATGGGGTTTACATTGTCCTGTTGATTCGATACGCAAGAGCATGCACCACGTACGAACAGTTTCTAAAATGAGGCAAGCTATTGAAAAACAAGATGATGAAATAAAGATATCAACAGTCTCGTTTAAAGTCATCATTTCGCAAGTTCTATCGTCGATACAATGACCTAGTCAGCAAATACAATCTGTCATTAATGCTGACTGACGTTTTTCATAGTAATTGTTAGGCCATTATTTAAACACTGAATTGTCAATGGCTTTTTCCGTTCATGATAATGAGCACACGGCGGATTTAACCGGTCGACAGGGATGCTTACTCCTTCGTGGCACCTGATCCCACCTCACAGGTCTGTGTTTGCTCTTTCATCCGATTTGTATTGTTCATCATTTAAGTACAAAGAGAGGAAACACAACTGAACTGCAGTTTCTGTAACACAGCTAAAACTTTATAAATACGGACAAGGAACAAAGCTAAAAAAAAAAACAAACAAACAAACAAACAAAAAACAAAACAAAAACAACAAACACCCCCCAAAAAACACTATATTATCGTATTACGCCTTTTCACTCCCTATAAGGGTATACACCATACTAGTACGAGGGTTGATCCAAAATGTCATATAAAATATAAAATACATATAATGGCATAAAAATTTTAACATTGGAAGTTATCAACAAAATTTTTAGACTAATACTTCTATTCATTTTGACTGTTGCCTGAATATTTCATTTAGATGCATACAATGCTTTTAAAAATATTTAAGGAATCACTGTCTAGTTAGTAGAGTATGCCAGGGCATCAACGATAGTTGGAAACGTGGGATAATTTGCATAACGGGCGAAGCCCGTTATGCATAAATTATGATAATAGGGAAAATTATGATAACAGGGTAATGGGGACCGTCCCGCCATTTTCGCGAGTATAATTACAAACAAACAAAAAAACAACCCCCCCCCAAAAAAAAACATTGTATTATCGTATTACCGTATTACGCCTTTTCACTCCCTATAAGGGTATACACCATACTAGTACGAGGGTTGATCCAAAATATTTCCATTTCTATTTGTTTTCTCTGTGATAACTCTTTGAAAGTAGGAGAGTTGATTTCTTGATCATGCTAACGGAATGCGAATTTCGCCAAGCGAAAGACCAGGAGCTGAGAAGGCCGAATATGCATGTAATTCTCGTGCGGCTGTCTTTGTGTTTGACGTCAGTGAGCGGGGACTATTGAAATTGCCATGTGAGGCCTCGTGTAATTTAAATCTATTAGTCTACATTTTTTTTTAAATCTAAATTTACAATTTTATTTCACAATGAAATGGAAATATAAGGAATCACTGTCTAGTTAATAGAGTATGCCAGGGACATCAACGATAGTTGGAAACGTGGGATAATTTATGCATAACGGGCTTCGCTCGTTGATGCCCTGGCATACTCTGCTAACTAAACAGTGATTCCTTAAATGTCATATAAAATATATAATACATATAATGGCATAAAAATTTTAACGTGGGAAGTTATCAACAAAATTTTTAGACTAATACTTCTATTCATTTTGACTGTTGCCTGAATATTTCATTTAGATGCATAAATGCTTTTAAAAATATAAACAGGTTAGGTTTCGTTTATCGCCGTAACAACGTTACCGTCGTCATTTCACGTTACTTTTCAGCACTCATATTCGGTTCATCCACAAATCCACAGGGGAATGGGGACCGTCCCGCCATTTTCGCGAGTATATACTTAACAAATACTTTACAATAGAAAAAAAGAGCCCCAAGGGTCTTAAGGGTCAACTGAGTATAATACAACACTGTAAAGAATCCGTAAATTGGAAGAATAAAACAAAAAGAAATAAATTGATTGCCCAAAAAGCAATAGAAATAAGATGCTCAGGGATCAACAAAATAGTTAGTCAAGTATTCAGTAACAAATCAAAAAGTAGATCTATTTACTTGCCTGTACTTGCCACTGATAATACACTCCATTTGTTACTATCAACTAAATAATTATGCTAATCTCACAACCTCTCAGATACTTACCATTAGTAAGTATAAATACCATTAAAAACTTGAAAGTACTTTAAGTATTATACATTAATTTTTTTCAGTAATTCTTTAATTCAATTGACCTACTTATCTCATTATTATCAGTGATTACCATAGGTGAAAAGCAAAAAGGAATAACTTCTCTCAGTACAATATAAATTTCACTACAAGATCAATAGCACCCTGCCAAGCAAAAGAACACTTGCCCTTGCTCATTACAACTTTGTACTCTGTTTGCCTCCTAGATTTTCAAAGATTTTTCACTATATAATCAATAGACTCTCATCCTAACACCATAAACCCTGACCCAGAGGTCCTTACTGTCATAGTTTGGAAGAAACACCCTTGCTCATAATAACCATGTACTTAAATTATCTGCTAAATACCCAGGAGCAAAGAAGATTTTCAAAGAATTGATGCATTTTCACTATATCATCAAGAGACTCACTCTAACATCAGAGACCTGACCCTGGGACCGTCAAATTCACAATTTCGAAAAAAGCACCCTTGCTTATCATAATCATGCACTTAGTATGTTTGCTAAATACCCAGGGAAAGAGAAGAAGATTTTCAAAGAAATAATGCATTTTCACTTTAAAATCAATATAGCCCCAACCTAATACCACAACCCCTCGCTCTTGGGTATTAATTCATATTTTTGGAAGAGGCATCCTTGCTCATAAAACCATGCACTTGTGTCTGCCAGATACTCAGGGACAGAGAGGAAGATTTTCAAAGAAATAATGAATTTTCACTTTATAATCAATACAGAAACACCCTTGCAACGGGGCACCTAATCATTTAACAATTTTGGAAGAGGCACCTTTGCTCATCATAACAATGTCTTAGTATATTTGCAAAATGCTCAGGGACAGAGAGGACAATTTACAAAGATATAATGCTATTTCATTATATAATCAATAGAGCCCCACCCTAACACCAGAACCCCTGACCCAGGGACCATGATATTTTCTATTTTGGAAGAGGCATCTTTACTCATCATAACCATGCACTTATATTCTTTGCTTAATATACAGGGGCAGAGAAGAAGCTTTTAAAAGAATTTATGCAATTTCACTATAAGATCAATAAAGCCGCACCCTAATTACAGAACAACTGAACCTGGGACCGACAGTTTCACAATTTTGGCAGAGGACTAATTGTGTTATAATCATGCCAATACTTGGACTGCTTAATGTCTGCGAGTAGATAATAAGATTTTTGAAAATTGCATTTATTTTGATGGTTTTGGTCCCATCCTTCAGGCCCAAGGGAGAAAGGTATCATGAAATTCACAATTATTGTTTCCCTTTGTCCATATATGCTCTGTACCAAAATTTGTTGAGATTGGTTTTGCAGTTTATGAGAAGAAGCTGAAAATGTTCAAAAGTTTACATTAGGCAGATGAAAACAGATTGCAATAGGTCACCTGAGTGACTCAAGTGACTATAAATGCTAATTAATTAACATTTGTGCCCCTCAATAATTTTGCCATATGTAGAAAATAAATGTAAGTTAGAATTTTGTCCCCTCAAAAATAATGTCTGATGAAGACTAGGTTGTATCCCCCCCCTCCAAAACTTGAATTCCCTCCTATGAGCAAGATAGATCTACATACCTATTTAATATACTGTGCTTAAAATATAAAAATACACATCTTGCAAGTGCATATTATATATTTCATTAATATACAATCTTTTTTATACAAAAAGTCAAGACTGTAAAAACAATGATTGGGTTTAAAAAAAGAACACATTTTCTTGATATCATTTGAAGGAATTTGACATTGTAATTTTTACTGACATTTCCTGCCTCTCAGTATAAATCACAGAAAATTTTGCTTTCAATGATAGATATATATCTTCATTCTAATATAAATAGAACAAGAGGCCCATGGGCCACAACACTCATCTGAGACATTTTGGCCCTGCTGTTCTGAAACAGCTTTTTTCCCCAATATACATGTACATGTATCCATTTCAAAATTTTGATCATCCTTTGTGGCCCCATCCTATACACAGGGGCCTTGATTTTACCAAAATGAATCTACACTACCAGAGAATGCTTACACCTTAATATGATTCATCATAGCTTTGCTGTTCTTGAGTAGAGGAGTTTTAAAGATTTTCCCCTATGTAATCCCTATTGTGGCCCTACCTTTCCCCCAGGGACAATGATTTGAACAAATAATAATCTACACTGCCTCAGGAAGCTTCCACATAAGATTCAGCTTTCCTGGTCCAGCAGTTCTAAAGAAGAAGATTTAAAAAAAAAATCCTAAATATTTCAATGTAAAACTTTGGTTTCCTATTGTGGCCCAACCTTACCCCCAGGGGACATGATTTAAACAAATAAGAAACTTCCACATAAGTTTCAGCTTTTCTGGACCACTGGTTCTTGAGATTTTTTTAATGACCCAACCCCATTTTTTCCATTTCTTGATTATCTTCCCTTGTAAGGGGGCTTGGTCCTTCCTTTTAACAATATAGAATCTCCTATGCTTTGTACCAACTTTGGTTAAAATTGACCCAGTGGTTCTTGAGAAGAAATTGAAAATGTGAAAAGTTTACAGGTTGTGGAACGACTGACACTGGGTGATCAGAAAAGCTCATTTGAGCTTTCAGCTCAGATGAGCTAAAAATTATTTAATACTTTTGATAAAAATTTTTTTGGGAGTGTTACTTTTAAGTTTCTGGGTATTCTGTTCTTCTAAAATTTATTTTTGAATTGGCTACATTTTTTTGAAATCTTTTGAAACAGATATTTTTCTGCATCAGATTGTCTGTTAAACAAAGACATTTAATGAATAACCAAAAACAATACAGATGAATATTGCACTCAAAGTGAGTTAACAATTTTGAAGTCGTACATTCCAAGCCATTTTGACAGTTGTTGGTTTGTTGCTGTAATGCAACTCCCAGGTTCGTTTTTGTATTAAGCTTTCCTATGTAGGTGTAACATGACAAAGCAACTGCAAGTATCAAGTGTTGTTGACTTGAATTAAAACATTTACATATTTTTGACTCCAGTAACTTTGAAATAATTTTATAATTATCCATAGGATTACAATACTTACTTAAGCAAGAGTTATGGAACTTTCCTTAGAAAACAAAAAAAGTAACTTCGTTTTCCAGATCATTTATTTTTATGTATCAGTTCAATGACAACCATACAAAGAATTATAAGAATATGAAATATGTAGCAATATCACACATGATTTCATTTGATATTTAATATAACACTGCAAACTTGCATACAATACCATGACCATGCAAGCTCCAAGATGGTATGAAAACTTAATTATGGGGTGGAATGTTTGAATCAAAGGGAAAAAAAATAGGATCAAAATGTGTATACACAATAAAATTTACACCGTTTTGTTTGTTGCAATTAAAAACACACACAGCAACAATAATGCAAAATATTTACTCTCATACATATACATATATATTGTACAATAATTATTCCTATTAAGTTCATATGCACCATAAATATTTTTAAAAATGAAAAAAAAAAATGAAAGGCCAAATATTTAAAACATTAAAATAGTTAAAAACTGGTCACTTTATTTCTGAATTTATGCTATGAATTAAAGGGTTGCTGGGACAGCAAGCATTATTTGGTTGTACAGATAGGTATACTTGCAGTGCAAAGAAATTTTCATATTTAGAATATACACATTAAATTTTTGCATTCTAACAGAAAATATAAAAAGAAAAAGAAAAAACCCACTAATAATATGATAATATGTCCACTTTCTGCCTTTGAGGCTATATCTAGATATGGCTGTCTTATCTTAATGAATATACATTTATGATTGACAGCTACAATCTAATTTATCACCATAGAAATGAATATGAAAATGAAAATATTGCATTATATTATATCTTTCATTTATATTTTAAGTGAAATGCTTGATTTTAAAATGAAATGTAAATTTCTATAGCTTCTGTTGCTATAACGACTTCATAGATTTACTTGTTTTACTGTTTAAAATAATCCTTAATAGATAATCCAATTAAATAAGTCACCAAGTACTATTAAATCATGATTCACAAGATATTTCATCAAAGTTAAAACATTTGCAATAATCTAGTTCAACATACAACTGCTACCTATAATTATCTAGTGAAAACTGTACAGTTGTGAGTTCCATGGGTGGAATGTTTAATTCTGAACTGGGTAAAAGTGTTTGCTTATCATACATGTGTGTCAGAGAAACCTCTTTAACACTGCTCACAGACAAGTCTTTGAAAATGGAAGTTAATGATACTGAGGAACCTAAAGTACATTGTACATCTAATGTCGGGAAGCCACACTTGTAACCCCTGCGATGCAACACTAAACTGGAATTAGTATAGTCTAGTTCTGAGTTGACCAAGTTTCTCAAATGCACTAGACTGATATCACAAGGCAGTGGGGAGGCCACCGGTAGGAATTCTTTCCTAAACATGTCTGTGGAGACAGACGTAAACAGTTTAATGATAGGTTTCTGTAATAAGTCATTAAGTTGCATACTTAGAATGGTTGGGAATGTAAATGATTCTAAACTGCTATGTTGATTTGAGATCTGCTGAGCATCTGTATCTGTTGCAATGTCTTCTCTGTATTCTATTTGTATTATAAAGTCAGTTTGTGTTGGTCGGTTGTCCTGTACACCTTCCCCGAGACCTCTGTCATCATCATACATTAATTTTCTGTCCAACATGACCTCAAACTGCCCAGGGTGAAGTCCAGCAACTCCATGTGACTGGGCACTATGGACAGTCAGTCTCCTATGGGCATCCTCTACAATGCCCATGTTGGTCACTGGGAAATAATTGGATTCAACATAACGATTAGGGTTATTTTTACGTGCAATCATCTGGAACCCATTTTGGTCAGTAAAAAAGACCGAATTTCTAATGTCAGTATTTAATCTCATGATAATTTCTGAGTCGTCAAGGTTTTTCATTATGTTACCATTCATGTCCAAGAAATTCTGCACATGGAGACCATGGGCCTGTTCAGCAGCTAGACTGAAGAGCTTCACACTGTGTCTCAGATTCGGATGAACAACTTCTATCTGAGACATAAAGGGGCCCTCCATTACATGGATAATGGGAATCCCTAAATGAAGAGGTTTGGCCTCTCCGCTTGGGTAGAACAAATATGCTCCACTTCCTTGAGATTTGTAGTGCATGAAAGACAAATCCATTTTGGTTATGTTTCCTGTCCTTTTATCTTTCAAGCTTGTCAGTAAACCTGTCTTAGGATCAAATTCTGCTCTCAGGTACTCATTTTCAAGAGGAATATTTGTCTGATAACTTCCAGAATATCTGGGCTTTTCTCTCTCAAACACCAATTCTGGAGCAATGTTAAACTCCATGGAATTGAAAATAGAAATTTTTGCTGGGTAAACAGACTTGATTTCTTCCTCAGCTTTAAATAAGTACACAACATCCAAAGATAAGGCAGCTAATTTTTTCAGAAAGATGATCTCAAATTCACTATGATGGACTGATGAACTAGTTTGCCAAACTGGATTGAGTTGATAGGGAATCTCTTCATGATCTCTTGTTTTGACAATAACTTTATCAGTGTCTACCAGTAGAGAAGTCAATTCTACCCTGGCTTTTGCCAGCGAGTTAAACAAAATGACAGGAACTCCTGTTTTAGTAACATGTATCACTCGTTTTTTAGTTACTGAGTCATATGATGTTTTTACTTCCTCTGGCTCCAGTATCATGGGCAGCTCCAGATCTCCTCCTGTCAGGAGAAACTGAGCTGAATTTGAAATAACTTTCTGGGTAGAATTGAAAGAGTGGAAAAGTTTATTTTCATAGTCCTGCATTACATACTCTTTTGCGGTTCCTGTGATAGCATCATGGTGCAAAAATAAAGCTAGGTTTCTCCGGGACTGTTGCAGGAAATTAGAGATATCATGATAAGTATGGTATTTTACATTCCATTTTTGACTATAGCCTGTTACTAATGTATTCAGGACATCGGCTGCATGTAAATTTCTTTCTACTTCTCGACTGAATTTCTTGGCATATGGTCTTGTGGTAAAATACCCACTCCAATAAGCATTGCTTTTGTCAGAATAAGGGAAAAAGTCACCAGAGACTGTTGGGAAATTTTTATCATTATGTTGTTTTGTTTTCTGCTTCTCAGATTTTCTGAGGATTTCAAAATAGTCTTTGAGTGTTCCAAACTGTACATCAATCCTCCAGTCTTCTCTGGCATTCATGTACTGTATAAGCATGTTATAATTCTGATATTGCTGGTCCCATTCCTGAGCTGAATCATATCTGAAGTCATCACCTAACGGAACTAGAATTGTGTCATAGTTGTAAAGACTGGCTTTTCTGCGATATTGCTCATAAAGCTGCCTTGCTTGCTCTTGAACATTTTTCAATGAAATTGGTTCTGCAAAAGTTTTCCTGTATTTTCTTTTATGAACTTGAAAGTCAAACATCATGCAGATATAGGGGTTTGGCCCACATGTGTGTTTAACTGTATACAGCATGTAGGGCATCACATGACAAAGAATATCCAATGATCCCTTGATGTCCCAAGGTTGTCGCCATAAAAACTCCAAGCTCTTTTTCTGAGCCAGGGAGCCTTTTGTAGCTTGGTGTATCCGCTGAATGACCATATTCTCTAGTCCTGCTTTTTTCCACAAGTATGGTACGGTGCCTGAGTGGCCAAATGGATCAATGGCCCAGCTATTTTTGGGTTTGACCTGTAGATTTTCCATAATCCACTGGTGGCCTTCCATCAATTGGTCTATGATTGAGTAGTAGGATGTTGAAGCTTCATCAGGCATCACCCATCCCCCACTAACAATCTCTAACTGTCCGTTCTTTATCAATCTTCTTACCTGAAAATAAATTATATATGTATATGCATTTACCATTAACATTTTATCTTTGCTTTTGTATTTCAATTAAAATTGTTTCTAAATCTTTTTGTTTTCAAATAGCAAGAATTTCATTTTTTTTCTTCAACATTCTTTAACAGGAGACCTATAGGCCACAATGTTGACAAGAGTCACCTTGGCTCTGCTTTCTTCAAGAGATTATTTTCAAAGAGTTTCTTTTTTAATATTCAAATTTGAATTCTTGATCCCCCTTCTGTGTCCTCATGCTAGCCCCAAGGGGCCAAAACTTTTAAATTAAACTGAATCCACAAACATGGGAGTGCTGAATATTAAAAATGTTCATGTTGCCCTGCTGTTCTGAAGAGAATTTTTGTAAGATTTTTTTCTTTATATTTCATGTAGTAAATATTTAATCCACTATTGTGACCCCATGCACCCTAACCAAAAAATTCATGATTCGAACATACTTGAGTCTAACCTACATGGGGATACTTGCATAATAATATGACTAACTATAGCCCTTCTTTTTCTTAATATAATTAAAAAATATATTTTTCCTTATATATTTTTTTATTTCAAAATTTGGTCCCCTATTGTGGCCATATCCTTGCTCTGGAGGCCAATATAAGAATAAATTTGAATCTTAAATACATGAAGATAATTTATTTTAATATCACTACCTGCAGCAATACTCTTTAGAAAAGACTTATAATAAATATTTTTTCCTATATTTTTCTATTTAAAAACTTTGATCTCTTGCTGGCCCCACCTAGCCCTGGTTGTCATCATGTGAACAAATATGAATCTTCAACAATGAAGAAGCAAACAAACAAGTTTTCTATTTTCTGTCCAAGTGCATGGTTCTTCTTCAGATTTTTTTTAAATGTTAAATATGTCTTAATTATCTCCCTTTGAAAGAGGTTATGGCTCTTTGTTCGAAAATATTTAATTCCCTTCACCCTAGGAAGACTTAATTGTAGAAAGCTTAGTTAGAATTGGCCAAGCAGGTTCTGAAGAAGTTGAAAACATAAAATACAAATGACACATAGCAGACAAATGCCAGACACTCTATGATTAGAAAAGCTAATAATATCTTAGTTGAGCTATCAAACATGTATGAAGCATCTCACTTTGGAACAAATTTGCTTAAATAATGAAGTTCAAATATTTAAGAAAACTGTATTAATGTTGAATCATGCTACCACTGCTTACTAAATTTCATTCTTCTGACTGTTAAATACCACAGGAAAGTTTAATATTGTATACTGCACCTGAACTTTCATGTCATCTTCCAGATCATTCCACCAAATATTGAGAAACACTGCCTCCGCCCACACAAACGTCATGTTGGGGTACAACCTTAATTTATCTACCATGTTGTTCAGGATATTTTTGGTAGTGTACACATAATACTCTTCCAAAGTCCGCAGCCATCCTGCATCATTATGAGAATGTGGCATCACAATGACCTTCAAGGGTTGAAGTTTTGAACCATATTCTCTTCCTGGGGTCAAGGTTGGTAGGATATAGTCACCTCCTGCTCCTAAATCATAGTTGTTCTTCAATCGCAAATCCACCAGAGAAATATTAGATTCTGCATTCAAGTGTTCATACAGGGAGCATTTTTTATTGTTAATACTTAAGTGGTCATTGCTAACATATTTAAGTCCCCTCAGAGGAGATTCTCGATATGTCAAATGATGGATGCCTTGGTTGCCCTGGATGGTTTTAGGTACATCTCCCAAGAACAAAAGGCATGTAGCTACCAGGAATAGAAAAGCACTAATGGCAACCAGTCTTTGGTGAAATTTCATCCTGTCATCATTTTCTTTCCCAAGAAACCAAGGGACAATTGCTGTTCTGTCATCGGACAATTCTGGTTCTGGAATGAAAGACAAAATGAGATGAATTTATATCAGTGCGCTTAAATACGTAAAACAATTTACCCAAATCAATATTTCTAACATTTATACACTGCTAGACAAAAAAGTCAACATTTTTTAAAGCTATAAAACCATTTGGGAAATTTAGAGCAGTTCCAAAGCTACCAAAAAATTGAATGATATAATTAACACAAATGCTTTATCTTACCAATTAAAAGTGAGCATATTTCAAGATAGTGGCTAGAAAGTATATTGGGTTTTCTTGCAAATTTAGTTTCTATTCTTTATCATTTGGAGAAAAACCATCTGTTGAGTGGTGACACAATGTTATAAAAGACTCCATAAACCAGAAATTTCAACATTTAGATCCACGAAATAAACCCCGTGTAACACTTTCATATTAGATAAAAAGACTCAACACAAAGCGGGCATCAGAGAATGAGCAAAAATATCTCCTGTTTCTTATTTCAAATGTAATCTTTGATGGAACCCAAACCTTAAATATTTCATGGAACTAAGAGATTACAAAAGAAATATAGCTATTATACATACTCCAAATTGGAATCAAGCACTGATGTTCAAGATTTGAAGTCAATATTTAATCTAAATTTTATAGATTTTATACAGTTTATACTCAAAGAAACAAGTAAATTTTGATTTGCGATTTAAAAATAAGATACAATTGACATTAAGTGTGCATTTGTGAGAGAAACATTTTAATGTCAAGGGAATTCCAAGAACATAAATTTTATTATTTCAAGTGGCAAAGATAACCAAAATAGATATAGGCCGTCGTAACCAACCTTCTAACCTGTAAGAATTCATCAATCTTATGTCATTATGTCATTTTAAAAACCATCTCCATATCTATGTCAACTCATAGCAGATAAAGTTGTTAATATAATTTACTTAGTTTCATATTGGTGTCAAAATATCTATCTCTATTATATATATATATATATATATATATATATATATATATATATATATATATATATATATATATATATATATATATATATATATATATGTGTAAACATGTAAAAGATTCATACTTCTTCTGATTTAGAGAGGGTATGGAGATTTATGTTTGTGAAGTTGTATTTAAATTCTAAAAGTTAAAGACCTGGTAACTTTGCATGAGAGGGTCCTTCCTGAATCATGGCTTTCATTGAAATGGATTTTTCAAGATAAAAATGATTTGTTGATTGCATGTTGTTTTACTTCTTATTCAGCCTTATAGAGATGTCACCTGCTTAAGGTGAAGTGCAACAAATTTTGACCTATGCATAGTTTTATATGGCCACAGCAGCCAGGAATCTTTATTTTGCCAATCATTTTAAATGTTATACTACCTGTGACTTTCAATTCAAATGACAGGCAGTCGGCAAAGGAAGTTACTTCCTTATTCTCTTCAAAGAAAAGTACAGGCTTTCACCTTCATCCACTTCTCTTTGCAAACCTTCATGTTTTGATTCTGGATGAAGGCAAAAGCTTGTCCACTTCTCTAAAGAGAATAGTTCCTACCTATGTTAAATGCCTAATGTGTGAATTGGCACCAAGATCATGAATCATGCACTCAACCACTAGGCTATCACAACCAGTATAAATGATTGGTGTAATCAGAACTGATTCCTAACTTCTATCTGTATTAAAGCCATAACCTCTTTTTTACTCAGAGATCATGAGAGTGATCTCATAAAATGACACCCCTGCTACACAGTTCCTTCTAGTGACCTTGATCTCAGGTCAGACATAACCTTGATTTCATGTCAGGCATGACCTAGATATAACCTTGATTTTATGAAAGGCATGACCTTGATCTCAAGTCAGGCATGACCTTGATCTCATGTCAGGCATGACCTTGATCTCATGTGCTTTCAATATGACTGAAACAAAGTTCCACCTCTATTGCTGGTGATCTTAAACATGCCCAAATGACCTCGAGTCAGGGTCCCAATACATTAATTTAAAGTCGAAGAGAATCTTTTGCAAGCCTGAGCCTTCAACATATTTCTCTTCCAAAACTACAACCCAGACATGATAGCACAGACAGATGAGGTCGTTTCCATCTAACCTCTTCTCAATTATGTTTTTGTGTAAATTTTATCATACAACATTGTCTATTTATAGAACAATTTGTTCCAAAGGACAGTGTCTGTTAGATGTCGTTCTCCTCAACTGGTAGAGACCAGGACAGTCTAGCAGTTCTTATTTTACATGATAGGAATACATCTGCTCAAAATTTCAATGAAAATGAAATAATGAGATAGAATTTGTATAAGTTGTGAAGATCTACTGCAGAGTGTTTGGATGATGGTCCTCCACTAAGTATTCCTGTAGGACAATTACAGAGCATTAGGTTTATGTAGCAAATAATTGTACACACACCATTAATTGTTCATAAAGCATACTATTGTTGTAATTTTGCAATTTGTGTATTTTTTCTACCATCACGTCATGCAAAAGAGACATTTGGTTTATAATGTGTCTTGATGTTTGTTATCTTCATCAAACCTTTGACTTGGAAAGCTAAAAAAAAATGACAACAGACCCATCACAGACCTTGCTTAATTTGCCAGCTCAGTCCAGAAAATGACAATTTGACACCAGCCAAGAAAAAGTGTGTCATTTCAGGAACTAACAAGGGGGCAATCTCTGTGATGGCTATAGAAGAAATAGCAACTTCACAAATTTGGGTGATCAATTATTAGCCAAGTACGGTATGACCCGAAAAATCTTGCAGACTGGGAATATTCCTGTCTGAAAGACGTGCGACTAAAAAAAATTCTTTTGGAAGTGGCCAAAGATTTCTGTGAAACAAACCTCATCTTCTGCAGCTAAAAATGAGCTTCCTTTTGTTTATGAATATGAAAATAATTGACCATTCAGGCAGACATAATAATTCTGTAGAACAATGGGAATGAATAATACAATAATTGGAAAATCCTCTTTTCAGTTCCAAAGAATATAAATGCAAACTAAATTGTCCTCCTAGGAACATTGCTTTCAATAAGCTTACAGGAGAAATCAATCAATGCATTAAAATTTATCAGCTTATTATTGTAATGTCATTTTTCAGTTCTTATGACTAAAGTGTGAAGAGTTTAATTACAAGTTACTATCATGACTATGGTATAAACAGTAAATAATTCAGGAATGCTTTATGAGATTATGAGTTGGGAATGTACTTTGGATCCTTGTGAGCAATAGACAACCTCGATATATCCAAGGTCATCAGTAGTTTAGTTTCCACTGATTAATAGCTCAGATGAGATCACTGTAAGGAACAGCTTATAAGCAGCTAACCTTGTGTAAAACTTCATTTAATTGACATAAAAGATACCAAAGTTACATCCGGTTGTACAAAACTCAGTAAGCCCTCTATAAATCATCAAGCTTGGCCATTATATAAACAGTCATGTCTCTGAGAACTTATCTAAGAAGAAAATCTTTACATCTGAGCCTGCTGGCATAATGGTAAGGAACAGTGCCATTAAAACCTTCAGATACCTGGGGCTTCTTCTCTCTTGGCAGTCTCTAGTCATTCACACATCTTTCTTTCTTCCCTCCAAATTTTGTTCTCTCTTTTCTTTTCATTTTTAAACTTAAAAAAGAAGATTTTTTAAAACAGAGACTGTTCTTCCTCAGCATTACTGATGGTTGAGAGAAACTCCTGTGAAATATTGGGCACAAAAATATCAGAAAAATCAGCACAAGGTGAAATATCAGTGAAATTCTTCTAGCGACTGTTTATAGTTTTTATACAATGCAAACTATGACTATAGCCAAAATGTCCTGACTATGCAGCTTCACGCTATATCCTAGATTTATACAATTGTTTATCAGCTTATAATATCACAGACTACTTACATGGACAAGTATGAAATAGGCAGATATTAACGCTTTTTTGCACGTCTTTTGTGACCAATAATGCTTTAAGCTGTCTTGATAGTTTTTGCAACTGTGTGTATACTGTTATTGTAGAATACAATGGAGAAATGGCCAGTCTGCAGTTGAGTCCCTCTGTTAGCAATATTTGAAACCAAATATAGAAAACCCTCATTAAAAACACATAATTTTAGTTCTTGATGATTTGAAACTGACCAAAATATCACCTATTCAAAATGCATTAAAATCATATCCTAAGATTCATTTCTTTAAAAACTTAGTGTTAAACCTGTTTATCAGAAAGTATGAATTAAACACAAATAAAAATGAAAAAAGTCTTGGGGCCCCCTGTGCCCTTTCTGTTGGATTCCTTGAGGGTAATTGCTATTTCCTAATATCCACTGTCAAAATAAGTAGGAAGTGAAATTCCCAAGAAACTAGACTTTAAATGAACTTAATAAAATACTTAAGCATTGATTCACATCGTTTCAGGTTGAAATGATGCATATCGTATAAAGATAAAATGGCTTGCCCCTAAAATACAGATCACTGCTGTTTGTATGGGTGAACATGTGTGTTATTTTTATCTCAGGCAAAGGGAAAAAATTGGTATGAAAATTTTCTGATACCAATGCTGAACTCTAAAAGCCTGATTTTTAAAACATAATCAGATAAATGCTGCAGTGATCTGCTGAGTGTGATTATTTCATGGGTTATCTAGATAATTCCGTGCTTCAGGTGGTCCCTGCTCTTAAAATTAGTATAATGATATTAATTAAGCAATTTCTTATGATGTTTATGAAATTATAATCTTTGTAAAATCTTTAACACAGTAAATGCTGGGATATGATCGGATTAAAAGGATATGCACCCATTTCTTTCTGCAAAACATGAAAAGAAGTGAAAGAAACGTGTCTACTGATAATAATCATACACATGTATTTCTGTAGACAATTTGAGTTTGAAAAATGAGGACTTCATCAATGCATTTGTTTCTTCCTCTACACTGAAACATTTTTCTAGCTTTTTTCTATTCAAAAGAAGGGGGGGGGTTAAAGAATAAATGATCTAAAAATGAAAGCAGGTTAAGTTTTAAGTAAATACAACATTACGGATAACCTGGCTAATACAATGCAATAAATATTCTTCTGATTATTTTTCAGGTGACATACCAGGGCATTTCATTATAGTATAGTCATCATTCAATGCATACTGAACCTGCACTTGAGTTTTTAAAAAATTATTTAATGTTTGAGATATAAGGAACATCTTGAATGAAAACTACATAGAGCTTGCTCTTCAATCAGAAACAACTGCTTCTGTACCAATGCAACACAGCAACTTTACAAGATCCACTAATTAATTTACTTCTTAATCCCAGTGACATTTAGCTTAATCTAGGATAAGCCAGAGTCTTAAAAACTACAAGAGCAAACCCAGGGCAGTAAGAAAATGGGAGACATAAAATAATTCTAAAATACCTCTTTGGCAGGCTATATTTTTACAGATAAGACTATACACATAGAATACAGTCAATAAAGTTCAAGGTAATATTGGGACTGGACAGTTGCTTTATTTTTTAAAACCCATACGGGAGCTATTTCCTGCCTGGTAATATCATCCATATGTATAACTACAAATAATTCATACAATCTTTAGTGCCTACAGTGCATCGATCATACTTCCATTGTATCATTAATGACACAGAGTTCCTTTGAGAAAAAGATAGAAAAAATTCTTTCATTCCATTAACTAGTTTAATTAAGGTCACTAAAACTAGTTAATTAATTCTTATGTATTTACTATCCCATACTTTTCACAGAGGCACTGCTCTTGCAGCATACCAGAGGTAATTACACCAGATCTTGACATGCAAATACTATCTCCATTCTTTCACTGCATCATTAATATTGCACCCAGATTCTGATACAGCACCAACTCTCTGATACAAGCCATCTTTTCATCAAATTAATTAACTTTTGCCACCACTAAGAAGGACAAAAAAGGGGGGTTATTGCATTCAAATATAAGTGTGTGAAGAACATTGGTTTAAACCTTAAACCATCCTCAGAAACCCCAGCAGACTAACAAAAATGTTGCTGTTCAATCCTCAGCTAAAAATCTTTAAAAGTCTTCTGTGCACTATGCCTCTTGAATTACTCATACTTTAACTTAATGCAATAAGCATGATTTAATAGAATATGCTAAAAAGATCTTGATAAGGTATAGTTGTATGAATGAAGCCAGTGTTATACCTTCAATATTTTTACATAATGTGCATGTTTAGATTCAATGTTCAGTTGTTAGCTCAGCAGGAAACAGGCACGTGAGTTTCCAAATATAAATCAAGTTTTGAAATCTTTGGAAAAAAGATAGATATTGAAGGTGAATGAGACTTTAAATATGAAATTATACCAGACATATGTGAGAAGAAGATACAGAGATATTATGCAAGCATGCATACTGGGCCTTATTGTGAGATTAGGGAGAAGGATGGGCCCTTCCATTAGAAACAGTACCCCCTGAGGATAAGGTGATAAACACAAGCCCTGATAAAAAGTTATATAAATAGGAGATAACTCGTGGGAGATAGGAGTACAGATAATTTCTGAGAATGAACATGTTTTCCTGGCAACAATCAAGGGCCGAAAAACTGACAAGTGGATCATTTAAAATTTTCAACATTAAAAAAAAAAAATTCCAAAGATTTTCCAAATTTAAGCATTTTTTAATATCCATCCTCATTGGGGCTGTTTATCTACTTGTTAGCAGGTCATCAGTGGATTTTTTTTTAGAATAATTTTCAAATGGTGCATCCCATAATGAGAAAGAAGTGATCACATTTTCAGTGATCAAAATCTTCAGTCACAATTTCACATTGGGATAGGAAAGAGTAGGCAGGATTGTTCAACCTTGATAATGGGCTTAGAGCCTCCAAAACTTGTATTTTAATCAAAATAGATGATGTCAACCTTAGAATAAATACAATAAATCAGAATTTGTGAGGGCGATACATTACATCTCTTCACATTCAATAAATCTAACATTTTTATTCATTATTTATTTTTGTCAGAACAAAGTGAACCATTTGAAAATGATTCAATTGTATTTCCTAGAAAAAAGACAGAATACTAGATAAGACTTTTTTTCTACGGATCCCAAATAGATTAGCTTGAACACAGAATTTGATAGAGACACAGCATAGGGAATTACTGATAGTTCCCTCCATTACTAAAATAAATAGAATATGTGTTCCTTTCTTCACGGACTAGATTAAACAAACATTGAAAATAAAAAACAATATTTTATCAGTTTAATCTTTTGATCTTGGGATTTTTTTTAACCTATTTTCCTGATTTTCTTTTTAATTTGACAGAAAAAAGTTCTGTTGCTAAAAAGTTAATGAAGTTACTTGTTGGAAGTCTGCAAGACTCTACTTATACAATCACCAATGATGAATGTAAAGTGAAGTTTACAAGACTGCTTCATTGTGAATCCAATTCATCCCTACATGATAACTGTGGATCAATTACTTAAAAACATCATCTCAAGTGAGATTTATTTAAAGGCTGGTGACCCCCATCTCCAAACTGAAGTACCAGTAGCTAGATCACAATATGAGAATGTAATCTATTAATATTGAAAATAAAGTGTCAATATTTTATAGCTTTTCCAATTTCAAAACCAATATCTATTATAATGAAATTACTTTTTGTTTTGCAACACACATTTCAAGTAGTAAGCAAATATTTATCTGAATCAGAATAATTTAAAACAAAGTACCAATCAGAAAGCAATTTATAAGCACTAGCTATATACCAATATAAGCTTATTTTTAACTAATAAATTAGCCACCAAAAAAGAAAATCGATTTTGTTTAAATCCATCAATAAAATACAGATGAATAATTAAGTGCTCAAGAAAGGATGATAAAAAAAAATTGTCAAAAACCAACCTGATAATTTCATGGTGTCTGAAGCCATCCCTTTTAACAAAATTCCTTGAAGTTTCTTATCATTTTCTTCACACATGTCATTCTCAAGGGATACAACAAAAAAAGCAACTTGGGATCTTCAAAAGTAAATCAAAGTAGACGTAAAAAGATATTCCACACAAACTTTATTCTTTAATCACAGTGGCCCTCAGAGTCATTTTCTTCACATGAAATGCCATTACAGATTCAACAACTAGAGCGGAGTGTCCTGATTCAACCTCAGAAGTAAGCTGGCCAATGAGATCAGATATTCCCCACTCCCCAATATATGTATTCCCTTTTCTTGTTCTTATTTATTTGACCAGGATAGAGTTACAAACAGACCCACTTCTAGAGGAGAGAAAACAATAACACGCTAGGAACTGATATCATCTGGAAAGTTGTATTTTCCCTACAAATGCACATCTGTTCTATGTTGGAAAATACATATTTCCCTCCTAAAAATCTTCAAGTGAGGATATTTTTCTTTCAGAAAAAATCTCAATATTTATATCTCTGGCTCTCTAGGATTGGAAGGAGAGATAAGCCTGTTGCCATGTCAGATTTCTGATTGGCCCTCTCTGATTTTCAGTCTGGAAATGAGGCTTTACATGTGTTTTAACTCTGATATAATCATTGTGATGCAACTATTCTCACCATGAGCTAATTTACTTGCATTATCATATATTGTTTGGTACAAAAAATTAAAATAATAATACAACTTCTTGTATTAGCAGAATGATAAATTTAGGCTAAAATTTTGGAGAGGAAAAAACTCAAATTAAAAAAAAATAGAAAAGAGGATAACTGCCAATAAAAGAACAAAAAATAAAATGAAAGCATCTGATAAAATTCATAATATAACCCAGAACTCATGCATTGTTCTTGAAAACAACAAGGTGTCTACCATCTTGAAGCTCAGAAACCATCTGTTAAATTTACAGGATATATAACATCGCTAAAAAAGATTCCTAATAGAAATTACCTGAATTTTTGTAAATACATTGTCATGCTTTTGTACTTTTCAATGTGAACAGATTATAAAAATTTTAATCACTTTCTCAAAACACTTTAAAAACCTGCAAGAAAAAGAGAACTTTTCTATATAAAACTCTAGCACACTGCTCATTTTTTGAAGCCAGAAGATTGCACCAGATTGTTTTTGTGCATGTCTTTCTTCATCAATGTGACAACAGTATCAATAATGGATGAAAAACCAAATCCTCCAGCAACCAATACACAGGACAGAACTTACTTATTATAACTATAAGGTACCCTTCACTGACATTAATTCTGACAAGTTTGGCACCTAAAGAGAAATAAAGCTACTAAGCAGCAATAAATGAAACAAAACAAAATGAATAAAAAAGACAACAAACCACCATATCAGCTGACAAAATCATTCATCACTGCAGATCAAAAGGAAGTCGGCCATCTTAACATTTTATGCTGTATTCAATAGGCTTTACAATGCTGCCGATTCACATGTCTGAGTGTAATATGTTCTTAATACCTACGATGGAAATAATAAAAGAGAGCACATTTCCTAATGCACTCACAATACCATCTAATTTTGTTGCTCCTGCCGGAAAGATCATAAAAATTTTATGACCAACAATATTGTCAAACATAGAATACACTCCGTGTTGTTCTTTCTATATTTTTTTTTATATCTTGCATGTTCAAGGAATAGTTCAATGTGGGTTAAGTTTTTTTGTTTTTTAAAATCCTTATGAAGCATTTATTTTTGTAGATACACATGTATTGGGTACAGAATTAATAATTGTAGTCAGTGATCAATAAAGTTGAAGAAATGTTTTCAACTTCTATAAAAATTGCAAATCTGTACACCAAAACTGCATTTCGTTGGCATCGAGGCAAACAAAAAAAAACAACAACAACAAAAAAACAGAGTTCTGTATTGCTTTGTCTGAAGTTTGTAACTTTCATTAATAACATAGCTATAATATATATATATATATATATATATATACATGTATATATATATATTTAAAACATTGCTGTGACGTCATGCCTTTGTTCTTCCAGTCTAAAAATTTACCTGTAGCCGTCCGATAATAATAATTAACAGTCCAATAATATATTATCGGACGGCAGTGATAACAAAATCAGACAGTAGTTAAAAAACAACAACTAGAGTGAAATCAAGGTTTAATATGTCCAGAAACCAAAAAAAAATTAGGGAGAAAAAATTCAGGGAAAGTGAACGCGATGAAATTCAGTTGTTAAAAATAGCAAATCCAAGAAGAAGAAACTGGAGTTTTAACCTTCCTCAAAAGTAACACTTTCCATTCAGTTTTTTTGCAAAGCGTTTTCTATACAGCACTGTGAATAAGCCAGTTTAAATCCATTTCTGATAAAGAACCAGTCTGCGAATCTCTTCATTTAACGAGGTTTGTTCGCCAATGACCGCACTTTTAAAACACAAGATTTTCATTATATCATCCAATCAAAATTTTAGATAAAAATCCGCGTTTTTACTTTAAATGCATTTTGAAGATATCATCCAACACTGTATTTGTATCAATGTCAAACGCACTTAATAAAAAATATTCCGAATCATAAAAAAAATCCTTCATCACCTGACCACTGTGCATAGTTCCTGCTAAGCGAAACGACTGCCATTGAATGAATGAATGAAACAAAAAAGTTCACTCACTGGTTTTACTGTCTAAAGAAAAAAAACTTTCTCTTTTCTTTTGTCTACTAATTAGATGGTTTCAGGTAGAAAACTATTGATGGCTGAACTCCTATTGTGTAATTATCGGACTCCTCCAGGTAACTTTTGGACATTTAAATAGCAATGTTTTAAGTAAGATATATGCCTCATACAATTCTGTATGTAAAATTATCAGACTGTTTTCGGCCCTAACGGGCCTCAAACAGTCTGATAATTTTTCATATAGAACAGTATTCGACATATATCCATTACATATATAGGAGACCATTTATTTCCCACTTCTTAAATCATAGTCTTATAGTCTTAGTTGGGTTTGGTTTTCAAGTGTCTGTACCATACATGCAATAAGAATCTTCCTTGGTTGCTCAAGTAGCATTGACCTCGAGACTCTTACCAATATCATCCTAAGCCTCAGCTGATGGACTCCTAACTGACCATATATCACCCAGGGCAGCCATGAACCTTACAGTCACCTTACTGCCTGCTGTTATTATATTGTCTAAAAAAGAAAATAAACATCTCCACCAAAAGTGTATCAAACAATATGCTAGGCATGTGGTTATCATCAGAACCAAAGTGTAAACTGGCTTTTATGATTTAATGAGTAAATGGCTGAAATAAACACATCTACGGCCATTACTGTTCTCCGACCAGCCGAGTTCTGCAATGGGAAGTGTCAGATTGACATGGGAAAACATGCTTTAACCAAAAAATGGTTCTTAAACAGACAGAAATGACATCAAACAAACAGCTCTTTCTTTGTTCATTAATTCTGTTGGCAGGGGCTGAAGTTCAGGAAAAGTGACATTTTATTACCTAAAAAACATGTTAATTTGTGCAGTATCTATGTTACTTATTAGATTCCCCTAAATCTAGGAAATATTTGGCATTACACTCTAAACCTTTAGAGATAAACCTGGCTTGTACTCTAATTTTACATCTGCCCAATTGGCTATATTTTCTGTGGCTTAGAAAAACATAACCATGACTCTCAAAATGACAGTTTCTTTGATATATATGCTGATCGACATTTTTCATATTTGTTCCATGATCCATTTTTACTCGACAGAAGCTGTTTTTCTTTCTTTGAGAATCCTGCCAGTGCATCTGTTATTCTAACTTAGGACCACCCTTTAATTACTTCTTACACCTTGGCGTCAAGAGAAATACATGTTGTAAACCAGCGTAAAATTATGTTTTTTTCTTGTTTGGCTGCCATGTCATCTTCCAACTGATCTAACTTCTTTTACATCTATCCATCTCTGCTAAGAAAAATAAACTTGTTTTTTTTCCATGTCTAAGAGCTACACTATAAGCACGCTGAAACAAAGAAAATATATCTTTTGCTACACCATTTCTATCTCTGATTACATACATCAACACTTCGTAATTCTACAAAAAAAAAAAAACCAAAAAAAAAAAAAAACCATAGACTGTGTCAGAAGAGCGATATTCTGTGATGATCAATGTGGGTTATTGTTGTCAGTTCTGATTGAAAATTCTAAAAATAAAGTTCTTGAAACTTAATTCTTTTTCTTGCTTCACACTAAATGAATTAACAGTTTTGTAGCTGTCATCCAGTGGGACTCCAATTAATTCCTAAGTAAATTGCTTGCATGGTGTCACTGTCTTCCACAACTTTACGAGGTAAACAGTCTGGCCTTAAACTAAGGCTACAATGGGATCATCAGATAGCAGTTAAATATTTTTGTTGCTTTGGGGAAGAAATCCTTTTAATATATACTTAATGAAATTGGAAGCCCCTGGACTAGACAATATGGCCTCATGTAAATAAATAGATATAAAAATGACAACAGAGAATAGCTGTTATATTCATCAAAAAAGTCTTATATTATGAAATTAATGATGACATGCAAGGTTCGTCTGAAAATCCCCACGGATTACTGAGAATGTATAGCAACAGAGGGAAGAAAAAAAGGATAAATCAATGAAATGGTCTTTTGAATCATTTGTAATCTTTGTGGTACAGGCTGTAACTAATGCCCTACCAAAAGATGAATAAAAAAATGTTGAGGGCAATTCTTAAGCCTAATTAGTAATGGTAATTAGGTGTAATAATCTGGTCTTAACAGGAATAGCTTGTGTGAGGAAAAAAGGACCAACCTAATTGATAATAATTGGGATGATATGATTTAATAACTTCCAATAGTTAAGTTACAGCTGTGTAAAAAAAAAAAAAAAAAAAAAAAAAAAAAAAAAAAAAAAAATCTTCAGGCTTATAGTACAGGTGAGATTCCATTATTTGGCACCTATCAACACTGGAGAACATCCTGCAACATCCTCCTAAATATGTATTTTTTCTTATCTTTTTGGTGTATACTCCTTAGAACTTCATTTAAATCACACATTTGTCTTAAGCAACTGGTGGGGGATATTAAAATTTTCATGAAATTGGAATATTTAATACCGAATAATGAAATACATGTATTAAAAGTAAAGGAATCAAAATGTTTAAGTTCCTTTACTCAAAAGTTTCATAAAATTATAAATTACAAAATTGTGAGAAAAAAAATGAAATGTCAGTTTACAGAATTTAATGAGCAACAGCTATAGAAATAGCTGATTTCTACCAATTTGGATGACCACTTTCCATTTTGAGCTTATATTACTTTGCACTTTTGAGAAAAAAACACATTGCTGACAAGTTGCTAGAATTACTGTTTTCACAAAGGTTTGGGGAAATTTAGAGCATATTACAAACACATTAGATAAGATCTGAGTCAAGTAGCTGGCTACTGAAGAAAACTTGAAAGTTGTGTGAGAAA